TTTGTGTTTTCTGCTGATCTTGTCAAGCTTTAAGTACTACTAAATCAGAGTTCATTTACATATTTACTTATGTGTCTTAAATGACCACCTTGTAACAGTATTGTGTCTATACTTTATCTAAATATGGTATAAACATTTACAAAGTTATATACAAAATGAGCTAAAACTCTCTTTTATCCAAAGGTGTTACATTTAATTTAAGTCCTGACAGCCTGTGCCTCCCACAGGTCACCTACCTAGGTGTGGCCTTAAAGGGACAGACTCACTCCCTGAGTCATGAGTGCATAACCCAATTTTCCACTTCCTTCTCCCCATACCATAAGACAGCTTACAACAAGCTTGGGAGTTACAGGATTTTACAGAATTTAGATCCCTAGTTATGCAGTCCCTTTGCAGACACCTTTTTATGCTCCTCCTAATATTCCTATTTGGGTCTTAAATAATGTATAGCCACCCATTTCTCTTAGAAAACTTGCCTCCAACAGACTCTGCTTCTCTGGCTGACTACCTGCCTTACCTTAACCTTCTCAGGAAATGTTTCAGAAAGCATGCAGACCAGATCCTGTCCTACCCTATAACAATTTCTGCTAAATCAGGAGATCTTGTTCTCCTAAAGGATCTTCTACCCTCTCCATTGGGACTTTGGTGGACCAGCTCTCATCTGGTCTTTTTTATGACACCCACTGCTGTCAAGCTCAATGGGATTCCTCAATGGTGGCACCTCTCAAGGAACAGTTAAAAAAAATGAAGAAGGGAGTTGGAGGACTCTAGGAATCCTCTAGGGAACAACATTTCACAGTGGTTCTCCTGGCCAATACTCATCCTAATGCCTATGTCTCTTGCTCTCCTATTCTTAAGTTTCCTCCCTTCATACTACATGTCTGCTATTGCTAATCAAAAGTTTAACCAGTTGTACCTCCAGGGATATCAACCTACCAGGGTTCAGGAGTCTGAGGATCTTGCCCCATACAGTGCCCCCTGCCAGCAGGAAGCAGCTAAAGAGACCTATGCTTTGCCCCAATTCCTGATCCTAAGCCCCTACTCTCATCATTATTAAAGAAAAATGGGGGAATGATAGAACAATAATGTCACCATTTATAAATCAGAGGCCATTTTATCCTCAGACCTCACTTGAGATGGTTCCAAGGACAGCCCTGCCCTTAACAGAAATTCCCATGCTCTAAGACAGCCTCACCCCTACCCAGAGACTACCACGCACGTGCTAACTTCCTTAACCTCCCCCTTCTTTAAAAGCCACACCTGGCCCAGAATCACTGCTGCACCATCTTTTCCCCAGCCAGCCTGGCAGTTTGGGTCTGCCTTTAAACTCTATGGACGTGAGACTTTTCTCGTGAGCTTTCTTTGTGAGTGGCGTTTTTCCTAAAGTAATGGGTCTAAGGAAAAGTAACAGAAAGATCTAGACTAAAGTACAATCTATTTATAGGTGAGATGGCATGGCAAAAACCCTTTGAATAATGAACATATACTTAAAACAATTAAGGACAGGAATGTAAAACAGGTCCAGATAGGGTAGGAATGGGTGGAGGACTGTGAATGGAGAGAGTAAAGGATGGTGAATGTGGTTGATGTACTTTACATATGTGTATGAAGACAGAACATTGAAACTTCTCAGAATTATTTTCAGTAAGGGCAGGGCAAAGAGGGAGAATGATGATAGGGATTGAGCTAGGTATGTGGGAAGCATATATGCAAATGTCACAATGTGTCTTCCTGTACAAGTATTATATGCTGATAAAAAATGTTTAAAATGTGGAAAAAAAGGAAAAAGAGAGAAATGGAGCATCTTCATCATCATATCTTTTAAGAGTGAAAGATAATAAAACATTCTTCTTAGCAACTCTACAAAGATAAAACATCAACTCTGTTACTAGGAGTAAGTGCTTATAGTAACACTGACCATTGACTGGCAAATTTTATCTGAACTGGAAGAATTATAAAGGCACAATTAAATGGGAACTATAACTCTAGGTCAGTCTGAAAAATTTTAACTATTTGTATCTGGACATATTCCTTGTGAAACCTATGAAACTGTTTCTTATCAATACTGGTTCCTGTGGGGGAGAAGACTTTCAAGTCATTGTGGCTCATGCATTCTCCCAGCTGCAATTACTTGCACCTGAATTTACCAGAGGTGACTAGGAAGGCCTTAACATTCCCCTTAGCTCCACTACACTGCAGAAGAGGTTGCACTGTAGGACTCTGACTTCCTTTTCCTTAGGGCATTTACTTTAGAAAACTTGAATTGCCCCTTTGAGATGTAAATCTACAATCTAGGAATGTCTTTTCTTAAGGACCTGGGAGTCATTGTTTGAGATGCAATCATCAAGAAAGATAGCCCCCCAATCTCTGAGTTTCTGTGGGAAGGTAGGCACCTAACTCAGTTAAGGGGCAGTTACCAAACAGAGATGCCTAATTACACTGGCTGACTTCAGCACCAGACTTTTCCAGTACTTTTGCACTAGTTCATCCCAGCGTTTAAAAATCCTCATGTATAAAAATCTTCCCATTTGTTTTAGAGAAACTGAATTCAGTCTTTTTTCATTATTGCAGTAATCTTGAATAAATTATTCCTTGTTTTTTAAAAATGAGTGTTCAGTGCAGTTTCTGTCTTCTGGAAGCTATATGAAGGAGTAAGGAGACTATTGTAGCACAGACCTTTGCTTCCTCCACCCGAAGCAGCCAATGCTGCAGATTCCTGCTGGCACCCTGTTGCTCCTCTCCTGTGTCCTTCAGAGTTGGCAAAGGGCACGTGGGCCTCAGTGCTTAGCTGAACTTAAGAAGATCACCCCTCTCAGTGAATATCCTCTTGTGATGTCTTTGCTCTCCTGTGTCACTGCTAGTTTCCAGTTTGCTCTCTGGTGGAATTAACTTTCAACTGAAAGGCCTCCTGGAACCAGAAAGTGAGACGTGAGTCCTTATTAATTTGTTTAGTTGTTTGTTTTTCAACAGCCCACTCTTTTTTTTTTTTTTGTCATTAGAGGTACATGAGTTACTACTTTATGGCCTTTGCAAAAACCTTCTAGGCCTGCCCTTACAATGGAGCTACTTGTGTTGGGACTTTGAAGAATGACTTAGTTTAGTTAGCTAGCTATATTCACAGGGTACAGGATATAATTAGTATGCTGTCATCAAACAACAAGATACAAAATATTTTTTGGGGGGGAACAGCATTCTGGGATCAGAATGAGGTTTATTTTTGCATTTTGGTGGTTGGCGTAAATGAATCACTGGCAGCTAACAAAGAGGTCACTCTAGACAATCTGCCCTTGAACAGTTTGGTTAGGGTTATTTTATAACCCCTACCCCCAAAAATTTCACCTGTATATCAGTTGTTCCTAAAGCCTTGAGAATTGAATGTGGGATATATGTGATAGGCTCCTTTTTATTGTCTTCAAGGGTCCTTTCATTCCCAACTTCCCTTTAATTAGTAGTCCAGGTCTGCAGCATTTCCTCATCAGAATTTCTTGGCACATTCATATAGCTCCAGCTTGGGCAGGATAATGGTAGATGTTCCTTCCTGAGGGCTAAATGTATTTTTCAAAACAATTACATAGTTTCAATTGATCAAACCAAGAAACACTGTTCAGAGATCTATAGACAGAACAGAGAAGTAGCAAAGAAGGAAAGGGGGAACTTTTTGAATATTTTAATCTTTTAAATGATTCATTAAATATAGGTCATATATTTTAAGGGAAATGAGTTTAGGACGGGAAAATTATTTCAAACATATTATAACTAAAATTAAAGCACATTTTGTCAGATAATGGTTTGCTGCAAAATTATTATACATACTGTATTTAAAGAGCTGTCAAGAATTTATAAATGAACACCACATTGTCTGAAGTACTTAGAGAATACAGACAGCTTCCTTGGACTAATGTTAGCTGTTAGCTGTTAATGCATAATAATTATGTCTTCGCTGATAATTCTTCCAAGAACTTTTCTGTACCTGCTTATTGTAATTCTCTTCCTTGTTTTCTGCCTTATTTCTACCTTTACCTTTTTTTTTAATATTTAAGCAAAGATGGACTCCTTAGAATGTAAAAGCATTTAACAGATGATAGGATTTGTAGAAGCATGGATGACACATTTAAACCTATAAAAATGGTATAAGCTTACATAGGAAAAAGAAGCATCTCTAGGACTATTTCAGACATCTTTGCATAGGACATAGACTATGAAGGACTATGTGATATTGAAAGAGGAATTTGGACATAAGCTATGGGAAATGGGACTTTGGCAGAAATTCAGTTAAGTTTAGTAACACTGCACTGAAAATAAACAGAGTTTAGGTGCCACAGGAGTTTCAAAGGTAAGACCTGTGTTCTTATGGAATTTATGATCAGAATGTGTTCGTTATTTCTCAGAAATCCTCTCTTTGAGAGTAGGGGTGACTTCTAGTCATTTTACATCTCCAGAACCTAGTATAGGGCCAGTCAATGCCCAGGAAGTAATTATTGAACTGAACCACTCAAAGTTACTTTACAGTAATAAAAATGTGAATTATCTAATGCAATAGGTGATTCATTAATTAATCAAGAAATCTTTCTCTGCATCATTAGTAGCCATTTAAAAGTATTTCCCAACTTCTTCCCTTTGAGCTAATGGAAGACATCATCCTGATTGAACAAATTAAAAAAAAAGAAATCTAAAATAAAAATAATAATCACATATGAAACTATTAGCTATTATATTGCTCTGATTATTATACAGTGTGTTTCATATGTTTTATATCACTTTATTCTCTTGTGACGCTAGAAGATACAATGCTATGAAGATACAATGAAAGAACTGAAATTCTAAAATGTGAATAAGTTTTTGGAAAGTTTTAGGGCTTCTATGTGGAGAAACCAGGGCTCTGTTTTGTGTAACTCTAAAAGCTATGCTATTTCCATTGATTTTTCCCTGTTTGTGAAACATGAGAAAAGTAACTGCTGGGAAGTGCGGACAGACCCCCATCTAAGGAGCATGGCTGTGGCGTTTAGGAGTTCAAGCCTGGGACAATGGTGTGCATCCCATGCATCGTCATTCCAGTTCTGCTCTGGATCTTCAAAAAATTTCTGGAGCCATACATATACCCTCTGATAGCCCCTTTGGTTGATCGTATATGGACTAGAAAACCTATCCAAGAATCCAACAATACAAATAAAGGCAAAGTTGACTGCAAGGGTGCAGACACAAATGGATTACCAAGAAAAGGACCAACAGAAATCTCTGATAAAAAGAAAGACTAATGTGATTTTCCCTAAAGGATCTCAGTTGTTTTAAAAATGGACCTGACAATATGAAGTGCCTTCTTTGTAGTTGTCTCTGACCTTTTTCTCTGAGACCAGGATTCTGGATAGAGTTTAGCTATTTACCTGATACTAATCAGGAAAACATACAGTATTTATATTTAAAATGCACTTAATTATATTTAATGACCTCATTCCTGAGTCCCTTTTCCATTAAAGTAGCTCTCATTTATGTTATTGCCATTTTAATAATATGAATGAATAGAAGGTTTGTGCCAGTAGAAGGAAATTCTTGGGCCTCAAACATTTAATCACGTGAATTTGCTGGTTGCTCTTGACTATGGGCTTTTATAATTGAGTGGAGTAAATTTTGCTGTGAAATAGTACAGTTGATTATGATGTGAAAACATAAAGAAACAATTACTGTTGAACACAAAGAAGTTTATCCACAAGAGTAGTCACTGCTATTGCTCTGCAGAAGATGAAAAAGACAAAGTGGAAAACCATCTTTTACATAAATGTCTAATGTATAAATTCTGTTGCCTTCCTTCTGTTCTTTCAAATGCATTAAACATTCAGTTTAAAAAAAAAAGAAAAGTAACTGCTGTCACTCAATACATACCTACAATAAGCAAGAAACTTTGATGAGTGCTTTTAGTTGAAGGTTAATGCATTTGAGACTGACTAGGAATTGCTCTTTAATACAAAGTAAGACAACGTTTGATTTCCTAGGTGAGCAACCTGCAGCTGGTTATTTAAGACATCTTTTCTGTACATTTCCAAATCCTATTTGCCTTATGTTATGGCAAAAATATATGTGAGTTTTGACTGTAGTTTACAAATAGATGCAAATTTTTCACTGCTCTTCTCTTTCTAGATTTATGCATACCCCAAAAAGGGAGTAATAGAAGGAAGGTTAATGTTTTAGACGTTTACTATGTACCAGATATTTAGTAGTAACCGCAGGATTTAATATTCAAAACCAATTTTCTGATCCTGAAACCCATTTTTTTTTCTAGTCTACCACATAATTGTCAGTAGATTTGACAATTGTTAGGTTGTGCTAGTTCTGCTAGAATCTAGTCTCAGATGCTTTGTGTAAATCTCTACTAGCAAAGTTTGCTCACGTAGGAAATGAAGATAATGATAGTGATTATTTCATAGGACTTGAGGGCTTTAATTAATTTCAATAATTTAATTTTATGAGCCTTATGCCTAAAACACAAAGTCAGTCTAATTTTTCAATAATACTGGCTGTATGAGATGTGTCACAGGTTACATTTGTCTAAACAAAATTAAATCTTTAACACCTACATGCCAAATTTAGTTGTAGATCCAATGTCAGTCAAATTTGAGGTATCAATCCTCAATTATTCAGAAAGAAGTTACAGATAACAACAAAAAAAAGGGTGAAGGGCATGGTCGTCCATTTCTGATGACCACGATGCCTGGCAGCTTGTGTTATTGTAAGCTCTGGTCTACCACCAGGTGCTGGCACAGGCAAGGCTGTAGGGAAGACCAAGGTTCATAGATCACAGCCCACATGGGCATTTATGCATCCACCCCATCAGAGCTCTGCTGCCTCAAAGCTGCGATGAGCCAGGACAACCCACATTGTTTCCTTCATCTCTCTGTCTCCAGTGAGGGAGTTGCTACAATCTGGGCTGAGGCTTTATCCTGCAAAGTATCTACTCTTTTCTCTTTCAAACAGAATCAGTTTGAATCATCTTCTTTAGAGCTCATTGTTTTTAGAAGAAACTATGTATGGATTTTTCTACAGGGTTTCTCAAGCCTGTAGAAATTTCTATTTCAGCCTTAAAATTCACAAAGTTTGATAACAAAGTCTCCCTTTCTAATTTCTTACTCGATGACAGTAACAACAATGATGATGACAAAGATCTAGAAATAGATCTTTGCACACACACGTACACATACACACACACACACACACACACACGTGAGAACAGGAAGTTAGGAACTCAAAGAAATAGCTTCTCATTTCTGGAGCATAAGAGGTGGGGTGAGGAATAGGAAGAAGAAGGAAACAAGCACTATTTACCAGGTTCTTATAAATACTTCTAAAATATATATATATATATATATATCTGTATCTTTTCCTTTTCATTGGATACATCAGTGCATCGCAAATTGCCTGTCTATAGTAAGTAGCCACTTTAAAATAAAAATTCCAATCAGATGCAAGCCAATAATTTTGTAAAATATAGAAAAAGGTTGTGACAATATCAAATAAAGCTTTCTGAATATTTACTCTCAATTCTTTGTATTTACCTTATCAGCAACTACTAATACTGGTCTACAAACTGCATTTGGAGGATAGCACTATTCTGCAGATTTCCCTATTTTAATATACATATTTCTCTATGTAGTTATCTTTTTTCCCACTCAACATTCTATCTTGGAGATCTTTCAATGAAAATCTAACATACAGCAAGTCTGTAGGCAGTATGAAACTCAGTAAGTAAAAGAAAACTGTTGCTTTTGTAACCTACTAATACATTTGTGGTGACTTATGACATGACATTACCTACTAAGGGTTGACTAAAGCATATGTTTCTACTTGGATTTTATTAACCTCTTTTAGAATTAGTATTAATTCTCCTAAAACTAGTGAGAGAATTAATAATATGTCTTGTCATTTTGTTTAACATTGTTTCTTACATCCAAATTCTTCCTCTTGTATGGTTGATGTACTCTCTATGAAAGAGTGAATATAGAATTTTTAAACCTGTTGAAGCCACCATAAAAAGAGAACTAAGGTACAAATAAAAAAAATAGAGGAGATGAACCAATTTGGATTATAATACATATATACCTGGAAGTGTTACCAATTTGGGTTATAATACCTATATACATGGAAGTGGCACAAGGAAACTCCCTGTGTAGCTATCTTAAACAAACAAAGCTCTTTTTTGTTTTTCATTTACAAAATTGGGGAACAGGAAGGCAGAACAGGTCCTGCCTGGGGGAGTTGCTACCAGTGGAAGAAGGGAGGAAGTAGGGAAAGGGCATAGGAGGGTGAAGATAGCACAAATACTCTATACACATGTATGTAAATGGAAAAATGATTCCTGTTGAAAATATTCCAGGAATGGGGAAAGGAAGAATAAAGGAGTATGATGGAGGGGATGAATTCAAGTATGATATATTTGATATATTGTAAGAACATCTGTAAATGCCACAATGTGTCCTCACCCAACACAATGATAAAAAGCAAAACAAAAAAACCCCAAATTCTTCCTCTTGAATTCTCTTTTTTTTTTTGCAGAAAAACATTGTAAAAGGATTCTTTCAGTTGTAGTCTCTATGGATAATAAACTCAGTCCTTACTTTTCTTAAACTGTTGAAATGTTTCCTTAACAAACAAACATAGTAACTATTTGTGAAGAGGTACCCAAGTTGAGAGAACAGAGTACTTTGAATTGACTTCTTTGTCTGCTTTTTTGCCAAGGCGAAATCTGATGTGAATCTTGTTGTCATGATTTCCTTATTCCTGAATTTTGATTTAATATTTATTTAGTTGGATTTAATTTTCAGATTTTTTTATTCTCCTGAGGATCATAGATGTGCTCTGTTCTTGTATGTTTGGTAATATTTGTCTATCATGATTATACTTGAAGTAGAGACTACTTGTTAGTTTTCTATTGCTGTCCCAAATACCTGTGATAAACAGTTCAGGAGCAGGAAAGACTTATTTTGGTTCACAGTTTCAGAAGTATCAGTCTATGATCTCTTGGCTTTGATATTCCTGGGCAGAACATCATGGTGGGAAGGATGTGGAAGAGAACTGCTGTTTACCTCATGGTGGCTAGGAAGCAGAGAGAGACAAGTGAGGAAGAATTTTGGGACAGTATATAACCTTAAAAGACGTACCCCCAGTGACCTACTTCTTCCAGTCAGACCCCACCTCTTAATTGTATCACCTCCCAATAATGCCATCAGATTATGAACCATCAATGTTTTATCCATTGGTTAGGTTGAAGCCTGTATGATCCAATCACCTTTCAGCTATTGAATTCACCAGGTTGCGTCAAAGCCTTTTGGGGAGATACTTCATATCTAAAAACCATAGCATATAGGTTGGACAGGTTAAATAATTGTGGGTCACTTTTTTTCTTACAATGTTGTCAGCATGTCTTCCTTGACAGTGGCTTGGGGAGTAGCTGCGAGAAGTCTGAAACAACCTTTCTCCTCTGTCCTTGACTTTCTTCTACTTATTTCTTCAGCAATTTTTTTTTCTTTGTTTAAATTCACAATCAGGTTAGGTCTTGGTGCTTATCATTTGTTAAACAATGTTTTTCATGAGACATCTGGGAGATAGAGTGTTTTTTAAATAATAAGATAAAATTTTTCTAAATTTTGAAACAATTCTTTGTTTTCTTTGCATGGCTTTTCTAGTTCTATTCATCACAAATTCAGCTTCATAAATATTAATAATCTGTACATATTTCTTTCTGTGACCTTTGATCTACCGTCTTTGCTATAATCATTCCTACATATGTATTGTTTCTGTTTCTCTTTTATAATTATAAATATATCTAGACTACCAATATATACTTCAATGTGATTTGAGTAATCTTTATTATATTTTCCAGTTTTTATTTTGTGATGAGAATACCTAAGATCTGCCCTTAAAGCAAATTTCAAATATACAATGCAGAATTGTTAACTCTAGTTGCATTGCTGTATCTATTTTTAGTTGTTTTTAACGTGTACTTTTTATTTTTATGTATACTCATCCAGTTCACTTTTTCTCTTATGCTGTCTTAATACTTCTTTTTTGAATTATTTGTCCTTTTTGTGAACTCTACTTTTAAGGACAAAATAATATTGTCTGAGACTGATTTGTGACCATGGAAAATAATTTGACTGAACTCTTAACCTGTAGGTCAGTTATTCTTGTAATGTATTTCCTTCATGAGCCTGCTTTTTAAAAAATGTTCCTTTTTGCTATAGTCTGAATGTTTATATCCCTCTAAAAT